GTGAATTCATCCTGCGCTGAACACACAAGCATCACGCTGCAACTATGGTGATCGCCTGGAAGAACAAATGTGTGACCGCTTGGTGATAGACCAATAATCTGACTCTTCAACAGAAGTTGCTGGAGTAAAACATTTGACTTTTGCCGATGCTCGCAAGATGTGAGCAACACGACGACCTGATAATAGCTACCTCCAGCGAGTCAGTCACATTATTCCAACGGCAGAAGACACGACCGAACCGACCCACAAAGGCCAAGTGTATACCGAAAAGAAGCGCGACTCTTCAGGCAAAGAGAAACGCATCAATCTCTGTCTGTCATGTGGAGCTTACCATGCGCGCTCCAATGGCCGCTTCCGAATTGCCAGGTGTCAGGCATGCGGGAAAACTGGCCACATTCGGAGAGTGTGTAACCAGCCCCGATTCAATTTTGCACAGCCAACTGCTGCAAATGACAAATCTTGCGCTCTATCTACGATCCCAAGGCCGAATCACCCAAATCCTATACAAAGATGTGACATTAAAGACAAACAAAACGCACAAATTCATTGTTGACACAGAAAGCACGAAAGCTATCATTTAAATTCCTGTGCTTCGGTCAATATATCCCTAAGTGAAAATAGAGCTGACATCTGTGTAACAGTCGAAAAGACCAAAAATTCCTCTCAATTACCTTGCATTTCCTTATCTTTCTTCGCCATTCAATCGTGCATTCTTTCCGACAGTGGTTTTCACGTCGGTGAATTTTCTCTTCTGGAACTTCTATTTCACCTTTTATACGGTGAAGCATATCTACTGGACACACACTTCAAGTGCTTTGCTCCTACATGTAAATGAGACTCAGTACTTTTTCTTGTTTTATTGCGACCAAAGTTTCGATTGGACGCCCTTTGTTGAACTAGCCGTTGCTTTCGGTTATATTGAACCCCTTTTGGCTGTAACACTCAAGATTATTTTGCTTGATCTGTTGAAGCATGCAAAAGTTTCCTATTGGTCCAGAATTATCTGAAAGGTAATTCAAATCACTCATTTTTCTATTTACTTTTTATTACCGCAGATATTTTCTGTGAATATTTGTAACATTTTCGCTGGATAGCGAATCAGGATCACTATCAGAGGTATGACGGTCTCATGTATTTGTGATTAATGCAAAAAGAGTACCGTAGATTAATTTTGGATCGACTTGGTTCTCGATAATTTGGGCTACGCGTTGCTCTGAGATTCGTTTATCGCTATCCGGAACAAGCAAAGGATCATTTGATTGAACGCATACAGACGAGGTCTTTTTCGTTTCGCCCGGACCAGGACAATCGCGTTTTGGTCGTTACAGTGCTCTGATATGCCATTCCCTTGGAGAATGAATATGACGAACAAGAACGTTGATGACGAACAGCGGGGATCCGACGACAACACTGAAGAATCTCGGCAAGTCCCTTTGCATAGTTTTTCTGTTCATGGCTCCAAGGTTAGTGGGTCTAGTCGGCTGAGCGATAAGTCGAAGCTTAGCGTGTCGTTAATTGAAATGAAGGAACGCCATCTGCGAGAGGAAATGGAGCAGCAGATGAAAGAACTCCAAGAAAGGCATAGAAGCGAACTGCTACCAGTACGACAAGAATTGGAGACTGCAAGGCTCGCAGAAAAAATGGAGGATAAATTGTCAATCCGTTCTACCGGGAGTGAGGACGGAAAAGATCGAGTGATGCAGTTTGTTGAAAACCATCCAG